AGATAGTGGTGTTTGAAAGCCATGGAGGAAGCTTCAGAACTTATTGGTGATAAACACGAGGGTTGTTGGAGGGGTGGTGCTGGTGAGGAGGCCTGTGTGGAGCTGGGGATGGAGCTGGTGGTGTTGCACCAGGTGTCCTGTTCCTCCCATGAACCTCCTGGTCAGAGTGGGATTGGTGCATGTGAGGTACCAATTTAATTTTGCAATAACAATCCCTCTACATTGTTTAGTTTTATTTATTGAAGTGTGGGTTATGAATCTCAATTTCAGTGGAAAAATACCAGAGGGGCACATGGCTCAGCAGCAAGAGCACATGCACAGAGAAAAGCTCTGTTGCCAGGCAGCCCCTCGAAGGGAGAAGAGCAGAGAATTCTCTTTGGGGAGTAGAGAAGGGGGAATTTTACCTGGCAGCCAAGCAGGGTGGAGGAAGCCTCCACCACTGGGCTGCAAGTTACACACAATGCTTTTTTCAGCACTGGCCCCCCTGTGCTGTGTCCAGGCCCTGCATTGCTTTGCCCTGTTTCCCAGGGAAGTGGTAGGATCAGCATCCCTGGAAATGTTGAAAATGTGTAACTGTGGTGCTTGGGGACATGGGTTAGAGGTGTGCTTGGTAATGCTGGGTTATTTTGGGCTTGTCCTTTTTCAACCTACGTGATTCAATGAGCCAAAGGGTAACTGCAGGGGTCCTGTTTGTCTCCTGTTAGGAACTGAGGAGTGGCAGAGTGCCAGGTGAAATCTGCAGACACAGACCAAACTCAGCTAGACAGCAGAGCTCTGCCCACCAGAGCGGCTGCTGATGGGGCCAGCAGAAATAAACCCAATTTGTCTCATCTGCTGATGGAGGCAGGCGTGCTCCAGCAGAGTTTGGATCAGACCTGCCACAGAGCTCTGCTCTTTGGATTTGGGACCTCCCTGCAGCTGTTCAGCTCTGCCCTCACACAGAGAGGGAGCCCATGGTGGGAGAGTGGATGGGAGAGGCCACGGGTGGCAGGTGGGAACAGGAATCTGGGAGAAGCAGGGCCAGGATTCTTGGAAGTGATGGCTAGTAATGGGGGTTGCCAGGGTTGCAGTTTCTGGGTAACTCAGTTATGGGCCCCTGTTTGTGTAATAGCTGTGTCTCGAGTGGGCTGTTCTGGAAATGAATGTCTGCCCCTGCTCCCGTAATGAGGCTCCCTAATGCAGCAGGAGAGGGATGCTGTGTGCTGCTCCCTAGGATCTGCCCTATCAGTGCTCTGTCCATACATGCCTTGTACAAATTACTCTGTTTTAAAGCTGTCATTATGGTAATAGGCCCAATTGCTGTCTAGTAAAGCCATAAAATGTTTCCATCTGCCTGTGTGCTCCCGGCTCCTTAGCAGAGCTCATTACTGCCAGAGGTTTCCCTGTGCAGCAGGGAGCTCCTGAGCAGCCAGGTCTCACCAGGAATTCCAGCCTGTCCCACTGTGGACACCCTCTCAGCAGGGACCATGCAGTGCTTGGCACAGCCAGGGACAGGATCCCTGTGGAGCTCAGCCAGGCTGAGTGCCATGGATCTGGAAGGGGAGTGGGATGCCAAACGGATTTGATTTTAATCCTTGCTTGCCACAAAGGAAGCCTGTAATCCTCTGGGAGGATACCCTGGCCAGTCCTGAAGCTGTTAAACCAACTGTGAGTTTAGATGTGTCAAGCATTTGGCTTTGCACGAGTTTCCTGGTAATTTCTGTGAAGATCAGGTACCTAAAAAGGGTGGCAGCTGAAGGTGGAACGGAATGGAATGGAATATTTCTGCTCCCTCACGGCTGTTCCTGGGAAGGAGCCACTGCAGTGAGCAGGGCTGGCTCTGCAAGGGGCTGTGGGGCAGTGGGGGCCAGGACGTCCCCACCTGTCTGCAGCTCTTTGTGGCCAGCTCTCCATTCCAATGGCCCATAATGGCCTCTGCCTTTTCCTTCTGCACCCGAGCAGTGTGGAGAGGGGTTAAAAACCACAAACCTTGGGAGTGCTGTGTTAGGGAAGTCCAGACAGATTCCTGCAGCGAGCGGTGGGGTGGGATTTAAGAAACCAGCAAGAGAGAGTTTTTGTTGGCCTTGTTTCCCGAAGCCCCTGCATCCGCTCCCCGCTCATCCTCTCACAGCGCCTCTCCTTTGCCTCCAGCTTGTTTGCAGGTGTTGTCCCACGGATGGCAGCCATCAGCCTGGGAGGCTTCATCTTCCTGGGGACATACGAGAAGACTCGGCAGCTGCTGCTCTGAGCCAGCCCGGCCGGTCCTGCAGGGGGAGAAGCCGGAGGAGGAGCGGGCTGGGAGCAGAGCCTTCCTCCCGCACCCCTCACAGCAGCTGTCCCGCAGGCTGAGAGCCACTCTGCCTGCTAGGGGAAAGTAAATCCTCCAATAATCCAGTTTCCCAAACATGAAATTTTCCTGCATGGAAAGTGGGTGAGGTAATTTTGAAGAGTTGTGCCAAAAAAGTAATGTTTGGGGGGTAAACAGCTAATTACGGTGGCTGCAAAAGGCATTATTAGAACTCCTGCAGGGAAAGTGTTTTGGAAAGCTCTGGCTTGGGGGCTGAGTGGGGAGGCTGAAATAAAGCAAGTTTTCATCATTCAGTGGCACCTGCCTCGTAACAGGGGAGGGGAAGGGGCTGATAGAGTTACAGCCTGCTGCCCTCCAACAGCACCGAAAGGATCCTGGCTTGGGAGAACTCTTTGTCAAAGACAATCATCCGTTTGTTCCTGATTCGAGCTGTATTTGTGGAAGTTTATATTCCTGTTTATACCTACAGGTGCTCAGCAAGCATTCCTGTGTGGGAGCCAGTGCAGCTTTATTAATCACACTCATATTTCTCCAGTAAAAGCACAGGCTTGGATTATTTTACAGCTGTGCTTGTGCAAAGACTCGGAGCTCTGCCTTCTTTTGGTCTTCATCCCTGAGCAGCAGGAGAATGGCAGTGCTGAAGCCTGGGAGGGAAGCTGGGAGGGCAAGGCAGGGAGAACATCAGAGTTCTGCTCAGTGGATCATGTTGAGAGCCACTCAACATAATCAGAGTTCTGTAGGGGTGGATCCTGAGGGCTCTTGGGGGGCTGCTGGCAGGCAAAATCCTGCTGCTGTTCTCACGCAGGAAACAGAAGCTGCAGCAGCCAAAACGGTGTGGGGATGAGTGAGATGAAAAGACCTTGTTGGAATTACTCAAAATTATCACCAGTTGGTGCTGGAGGTTTACAGGACCAGCTTGGCTGCGTGGTGGCTGGGCAGGTTCAGCTGGGGAGGGTGTTTGTGTGGGCAGGCAAAGCCAAGGGGTTTGGTGTGTGATGGTTTCCTGCACGGCCCACGGTTTCCTGGGCCATGGGAAGCTCCTCACACAGGGCAGAGGAGTGGGTGCCACAGGCCCTGGGTGCTGTAATTTACCTGTGGGGCTGTTCCCCTCATGAGGACAATGTGTTTGGAGTCCTGAGAGAGAGAACCAATGCCAGACCAGGGCAGTGGCCTGAGCAGGGGACACCAGTGACACCAGAGCCCCTGCCCAGAGTGCCTACAGCACGGGCTGGATGTTTTATTACACTGCTATCCATGACAGAGTTGTAAGACTTTTCAGAGGCCAAAACTTAGAAAATAATTGGCAGACAAGTAAAACATACAGAACAAAGGACATAATTCTTAAAAATAATCTTCAATTAAAATGGGGAATTCGGCCAAGTCCCATATTGGCTGGTTGGTAACACTGCTCACTACCATGGCTTGGTGTAGCTGTGCTTCCTGCCACTTTGAGGCTGTCTCTTTTTATGACATTCTATATATATATATCTATTTATCACATTCAATTTTAGGGACTGGGAAGGGAGGGAGATTTATTACTCTGTCTCAAAAATCTATCACATTTTCTCTTGAAGCTCTTTAAACATGGTGAGAGGGTTAGCACTGCAGCTGATGCATTTAATTACTTGAGCTGTAAATAATCATCTTTATGTCATTGGGTCCAAATGGTGCATTTTTTGTTGTTTTTATTTAATATTGCAGAATCAGTTTTTGTCATCACCTTTTTTTTTATTATTAAAATTAAAAACCCTAACTAAAACCCGACAAAACCCAGCCAAGCAGCCAAATTGTTTTAGCCAACCTAATGGTGGGAGGGGACAGACCTGAAGTGATTCCCTTTCCCTGTGCCAGTGGAGCAGCTCTGGCAGCAAAGGCCAAAGGTACCTGGGAATGGCAGCAGGCAACTGAGAGCCCCAGCAGGTGGCCAGGGCTGCTCTGCACTCACCAGTTTGCCTAATATGGATGAAAAGGACATTTTTAGTTTTGGGACTGTGGGGAGAAAAAATAGACCAAAAAATGCATGGATTCTCCTATGACTGTTTGTCTTAAGTTTTAGCAATGTTTTCTTTCAAGTTTACCAAAACATAATGTAGCCCATTACTGGGATGAAGTGGGATAACAACTTAAATTTTACACCAGGCACCAGCCTCTTAAAACCTCTCTCAATTAAAAAAAAAAAATGAACTCCTAGATGTGCTAAGGAACATTGAGTATTCTCAGTCAACCTGCTTTATACCCAAAGTGATAATTTCAAGGGGGAATTAATTCTATTTTTTTCAGAAAAATACAGAAACTGAACTGAGATTTTTAGTTAAAGCAGGAATTCAGGCTTATCTCCAAAGCTACCTCTGGAATTTCCACCCAGGGTGGGGCTGGGGTTTGGGAACACCAGAGGTTTTCACAACTGCAGCTGGGTCTGGCGCTGTCCTGGCCCTGTTTTTACTTGCACACACACACACACCCCCCTCATCTGTTCTGTTCTCACTGCCAAGACAGGGGGACTTGCCAGATACTAAAGCAAGCTGATATATTGGAAATGTATTTCTTACAAGTTCTGTATTGTATTTTTCCATCCAGCCCCAAATTCCACCCCATCCACAGGCCAGGCTGTCAGAGCCTCACGCTGTTCCCCAGGATCTCATGGCCCCATTTCAAGAGCAGGTACTTTGGCAGTTAATCTCCATTTTTGTGACAGAAAGACAGAAAAGAGATATAGCAATGGATTAGAATTTTATTTAATTTTCAACTGAGACTCCCAAAAGCTCACTCTCAACAGATCAGCCGTAATATTATAAATGAACCTTTATTAAAGACACTTCAATGCCGTTTGTTAGACACTTCAATATCTTACATGTTTTTCAATGTACAACATTGTACCAAATTCTCTAATAAATAAATAAATTTGTACACAAAAGTAATACTTCCTCTTTCACATTGCCTCTTAGAAGCAGCAAATTCACATATTTAGTGGAAGTCATAACATTAGGCAGTTAACTTTATTCAGAACCATTATTTTCAATGTTAACACGACAAATACGCTTTTGTATCTGCACTGGTGATGACATTTCTGCCAGCAAAACGAGCCCATTGAATCATTCCCATCTTCCCCATGTCCCTGGTTCCATGAGTTAGTTCTGGACCACTTTTCCCTTCAGCAAAGGGAAAACTGTGCTCGGTTTATAAATTTCTAACATCCATTTCCTTTGCTTTGAATAAACTTGGCACTCAACATAATTCGCCACCTGTCTCAAAGTGCAAACGTGTCAATAGTCAGGGACTGGGACAGACAGGTACTGGCTGAATTATGCCTGGCTTCACCCAGGGGCAGCTGCTGCTCTCCCTGGCCCTCAGAGCAGGTCCTTCCCTTACAGGAGCTAAGGCTGGGTAGGACCAGCTTGTGACAAGACCAAGGGGCAGCTTGCAGCCACTTCCTGAAACCCCACAAGTGCAGCAGCGCTGGGGCAGGTCCCTCAGGGATGGATCTAAAGTGCCCGTGAAGTGTTTCTGCCCTTATCTCTGCTGCTTGTTCTGAACCACAGTCCTGGCAAAGGTGGATTCCCAGACTCGGCCTCAGTGGAACTGGTGTTTGGAGTTGCTCCTAAGGAAAAAAGTAACAACACCCCCCTCCCACCCATGATAAACCTGCCCCAAAGTAGTCATCACCAGAGTTAGCAACCTCATGTTAGCAGAACTCAAATCACAAAGAACTGGGAGTCCTCCATCCACAGGTACCAGCAAACACTAACAGAAAGCAACCTTTCTATAAATAAAAAGCATCATTGTGAAGTCAGAAGTGACAAAGATCTGTCTGACTGAGGTGGGTATTTCTTTATCCCCCCTCCATTAATGGATGAACTTAAAAAGACCACATAAAAACATTTGGGACATTTCCATTTAAAGGTCTATTCAACCACGAATCCACAGTTTTCCTTATAAAACAAATGTATTTCTGACTAGCCCAGAATTGCTACACCAGGCAGCATAACTCACTTGAAGGTGATGTTTTCATATAGAGAGTCTGGCTGTTCAACTACAAAGTGTAATATTGTGTTGCAGGGAAAAAAAAAAAGTATTGGATGAATTAGTGATACAGCTGTCCCCTTAGGAGTACAGTTTAGTTTTGTTGTCAAAACAGCTCTATGGTTTCAAACCCCCCCAGAACAGATGTGGTTTTTGGGTGTGAAAATGCATTATACACTGGCACAGGTTATTTTTATTAAGGAAGGCAAGGCTGAATTGCTGCACACACCTCAGACAGGTAGAGCTGGGTCCCTTTGGGAGGGGAAGGGCCTGTGGTGAGGGCTGTGGTGCTCAGAGCTGTGCACACATGGCAGGTAAAACCTCTCTGATGATGTGTTTGAGAGGTGCACTGTTATGAGACCACCCCTGGTTTACTGCACAAGTTATTTATTTTGGTAACAACTTCTTCCCAGTCAAAACAACCTTTTCCTCTGGTTGTTTTGGGGCTCTGCACTGTTGAAGAGTTATTTAGTGCCTCCTGTGTGGTCCACTCTAAAGTCTCACACAGTCACAGTTTAAATACTAATTTTTATGAAGTTTTGAAAAATAATGGAATTCAAGTTCTTCCACCAACAGGAACATATCAGGTTGCTACATAATTGCTCACTGCTTTTTTTCTTTATAAATTTCATTTGACACAGTTGAAGATCTCTGTTACTAAATGTGTTAAGTACAACAAATTTCCAAGGGGAACGAAATTTGTGCTAAGTAATCCAATTGAATCACAGAAAGACTTGGGTTGGAAGGGACAGAATCACAGGATTAACTAGGTTGGAAGAGACCTTTGAGATGATCAAGTCCAACCTTTGACCTAACACCACCTTATCATCTAAACCCCCTGCTGTGGTCAGGAAGAACTTTCATTAGTCCAGGTTGCTCAGAGGTCATCCAGCCTGAACACCTCCAGGGATGGGACATCCACAGCTTCTCTGGCAACCTGTACCAGTGCCTCACCACCCTCACAGGGAGGAATTTCAATTTCTTCTGTATCTAACCTAAACTTCCCCTTTTTCAGTTTGAACTCCTTACATTGAGGGCACCAGAACTGTGTGCAGAAGCCCAGGTGGGGCCTCACCTGAGTGGAGCAGAGGAGCAGAATCTGCTGCTCACAATGCTCTGGATGCAGGCCAGGACATGGTTGGATTTCTGGGCTGTGAGCACACATGGCCAGGGCACATCCAGCCTCTGATCCACCCACACCCCCAAATCCCTCTCCACAGGGCTGTTCCTGGTCACTTTTCCACCCAGCCAGTACCTGGGATTGCCCCAACCCCAGAGTACATGGTGTAAAGGAACTTCCACTGAAAAGAGGACCATCCCTTTGGAACAGTCTGGCTTTTAAAAGCTCTGTTTATGCATTTAAGGCACCAGAATTATTTCTCTCACAAAGTTTAACAGCAACCTGATACTGAAAACAATATTGCCAAAATTGTAAAATTTCACTCAGTTTTCCATGCACTAAAGATTAAAATAGCCTCTGTAAAAGATATATATATATTTTTTATATATTTATATATGAAAACTCTTATGTACAATTGTATCAAATACTTTTCTCTTTACACAATAATCCCTTGCATTTATGTGCTTCATATGCAAGTTGACTTTTGAACACTTCATACTTCTCAGGGAAGTTTTAAACTATGTACAATCAGATGACGCTCGAACAGGAGTTTGTTCCCCATACAAGCTTGTTTCTCATACCTCAGTTGGTTGCCTTTGCCAGGCCATCAGTTCAAGATTCGAGGTAGAAGTAAGTAGCCTATATACTCTGTGCAAAAAAAAAAAAAAATTTAAAAAAAGTAATAGTGTGTTTGTTAATTTGCATGTGGCAGTCAGTCTGTGCTCTCAGTCCAGAGACCTGTTGGGCAGCTTGGGCTCGTGAGTGGAGTCGTGGGGCTGGGCTGGGGTGCTGCTGGGCAGGAGAGCCTGCTCCACCTCTGCTTCCCTCTGCAGATCCAGTAGTGCTGGGGATATTTCAGGAAGCACATTCAGTTGCTTTAATGACCCTCCTGCAGGCGAAGCTCTCACCAAATTAAGGTTGTTAAGCTCTGAAGGCTTTGCTGCTACTTGTGAAGAGCCTGCAAAACCCCAAAGGAGCAGCATGGTTAGGTGATGCTCAGCCTGCCAAGCACTCCCATCCTCCACAGCTCTGGAGGTCTTTCCCAACCTCAATAATTCTATTCTATGCCCAAACCAACCCCACCGCTTCCATCCATGCCTGTGAGCTGGTTGAAAAGCTGAGGGGAGCACCTGGGGTGGTGCTACAAGCCTGCTGGTGGCCCTGGGGACCAGAGGTGACCCCGAGGAAGGACGTACCGTGCGCGTCCGCGAGCAGCGCGCCAGCCGCGCCCTCCGGCCTTATCCTGTCGTGGTTGCTGGGGTACAGGGTCCCGTCTGTTTCCACCCTCTTGCCACTGGCAATCCCGTTGCAGGGCTGAGCGTGAAGAAGGCTGGTGCCTGCACTCCTCTTCCTCTGGTGCTCCCTGCTGCTCAGTGCACTGGGGTGGGTGCTCTCCACAGTCCTTAGGCTCTGGCAGTCCTTGGCGTAGGAGCGGACGGTGACGTTGTCCGTGCTGCCGCTGCACTCCGTGCACACCACGGGCAGCCCGTAGCCTGAGGGGCAGGAAGGGAAAACCAACAAGGTAACAGGAGCAGATGGACGTGGCCAGCACTGGAGCACACAAATCATGGGAGGGAAGGGCAGTTCTGTGCAGCTCACTGGGGGAATCTCTCGCTAAATAACGTGGACACGTTGTGGTCTCACACAGGGCTATCACACACCCACCATCACTCCAGGTAGGTCCAACTAACAGCTTTAGTTAGTATGGGATTCATTTTCACTCCAAAGTACTTGTAACTTTCTTTTTTTTTTTTTATTTCCTTTTCCAGGCTTTCTAATCAGGGTAGAAGTGCAAAGTGGAACTTTACTATAGCTGCTTTAAAATACCAAGCTACCTTTCTTATTTTTGTGCTGCTGCTTTACAGGGAGCAGCATCAGCTTGCACTGTTATCTCAAGATATGTCATTACTGGTAGTGGGAACAACAGATGAGCAGAATTCAATGCAGCAAGGAGTTTCTAAATGTTTAAAGGTAATTTCCTTAGCGCACTCAACAACTTTCCATTATTAAAATTTACATTAGTTTCTCCTAGAGAGAAAATTTGTTTCATTGGCTCATTTTCCGTGGCTTTTACAATGCAGTGTGAGAACAGAAAGCACATCCTAAAAATAGAAAACTATGAGTGGAACACCATAGAAATTGGCAAAGAGCAGAGGCAGGTGTAGTGCCCAAAACAACCTTTAAATTTTGAAAATAAATGAAAAAGCTGAGCTTTGAAGTCAACAGCCATTTTAAAACAGCGTGAAAAAAATTAACACTTTCAGTTTTGAAAGTGCTCTCATAATTTAAGAATATTTCAAATCAAAATTCCCATCAGCCAGCTGCACAGAATGGCAACTGGGAGCTTTACTCTGCCTCTTTCTGACAGTTCCTCAAATTCCAAATATCCAAGCTTGAGAGAGGATCAAAGCAAGCAGGAGAAAGTAAATTTTCTGTGCTTGCACCTGAGAATCATTCTGAGCTTTTTTTTTTCTCTGAAGGTTAACAATTCCTTGTGTTAATGCTCTCTGACTTGGAGGGTTTTGTGATCTGTACAAACACGAAATGCCTTCTCAGATTAATTGGTTTTGTACCTGTCTTATCTGGAACAAGCATTCCATCAGCCATGTCCTCAGTTTTCCAAGTGTCTTTATTATAGCTGATACACAGCTTGGGCTGTCTACAACCTACAGCAGGAGCTTCAACATCTGGACACCTTCCAGCATCAGCCTGACACATCCCTGTAACAAACAAACCATCTGGGTAAAGATCACAGCCATCTGCTCACAGTTAAATGACTTGTTGGTCTTATTTACACTGGAAATGGGAGAAAAAATAGCAATGGAGATAAAAGACAATTTTCAGTAAACATTTAACAGAATAAATGCTGCACAATCTCAGGAGGATCTTAGTTCACAACTCCTTCCTAATGTGCTGTGTTTAAATAGTGTAAAACCCCAACATTTAATTTCAAAGCCTGAAGGCAGGGACAGGCAATGTTAATGCATTTTCTAGTATGACTATGGGTAACGCTGCTGCCAAAAAAAGAATCCAAAATTAGCAAAAAACCAGTCCTTGGGGCCTGACTGAGCAGTTTGTGAGGCAGTCAGCTTGTAGGAACATTTACTCCTGGGAGAGGAGAGCTCTGTGAAGTCAAACACAGATCCCTGCTCTGCATAAATGCAGGAGTTGCATTATAAAGATCTCTCAGATAACTCAGAACAAACACAAACACAGGAGTACTCTGGGCTGAGACTTCTACCTCCCGTATCAAGCTGGGATCCAGCATTACAGAATAACGAAACCACTGCTCACCATTGCTGTCAATGTGCCCGTTGGGCTGCTGGGTGTCCACTCCAATGGCCACTTCCTGGCGCTCCGAGAGAGTCCCTTGGGAGGACAAGTAGCTTGGCACATCAGGAGGCACAATAGTCTCATCTAGAGCAATGGGAGAAGGGAAAAGTCAGCTTCCAGCAGGATTTTTTAAAGGAAATTCACAGTTTCAAGGGGGATTTGGGACCAGATCTAGAAGCGGTTATTTTCTGTAGGTGCACTGGAAACTGAACTGCCTGAATATTCCTTTCCCCTCAGAAGCCCCATTCCTGATTTTTCAAAGCTTAAAGCTGTGGGACAGAGTGCTGATAAAGGCTCTTTGAGTGCATGTGGCATGGTCAGTACATAACAGATGGAGTAGAACTATTTATTCAGAATAAGTAAATCCTTCTCTTTTCCCTAAAGTTCAGTCCCTCCTTTGACTCAAGTCTTCTGCCTCCTGAAGTCAGGAGTAAAAGTATTCTGCAGAACAGGGTGTTTGATTCTCTTAAGCAGGAAATAAGTCTTAAGCCTCTTGGCTTTCTCCATTTTTATCAGGCAATTTCAGTTTCCTTTGCCACACAAAACCAAGTGAAACTCAATTATATCAGGCACGAAGCCCTGGATTTTGAGGACTAAAAAAGGGAATTATAAAAGAATCCCACTAATACATCACACTGCTAATAGGCTATCCAAGACTTCCTACCTAGCCCATGTTTTTAAAAATCCTTTTGTACTCTATCTAAAGCTAGCATAATGTAGGAAGGCTGGAAATTCCAAGCGGGCTGGGAAAGTCTTAGGCTGGTTCTTCCATACTTCTGTTTTGTTAAGAGGCTGCATAAGGAGGGCAGGAGACTTTATTCTCACTGCAACACTTATTTCAGCACCAAATTACCCCCTCTGAGTATCAGGACAAAGCACTAAATGCTAATTCTTCCTCTAAAAAGCAACAGATACCCCCCTGTCATCAGGGCTAGCTCTTATACACAACATGAAAAAAGGGATTCCTGCTTCTAGGTCTAATTTTTCAAGTTTTGACTTCAAAGTTTTTGCAAATACAGACTTCCAAAAACCAAGACAGGTTCCCAGCATCATGGACATCACCCAGACTGTCTCAAGGGTTATCATTTATGGTCATGGAAAACCAAAGTAGCCAGAGCAATGGCTGGAACTACAGCCAAGTGGAAAAGACCTTCCTGAAGAGCAAGCAAAGGGGAGAAATGCAGCTCTGAACATGCTTCAGCTGCAAGTGAAAGCTGGCTCCAGGAGAACGAGGGAGATAAGCCAGCTGCAGTTCCAGGGGATGGTGAGGCTCAGTGGGACGCCTGGCAGCACGAAAGCTTAGAGGGGGCCTCAGGACACTGCAGCTACCTGTGTTGGTGACGCTGTACTCTTCACTCTTCTTCCTGGTCTGGTAGATGATGCAGACCCAGACGAGGGAGGTGAGCACGATGCTGCAGACCACGGCGATGGTGATGATGCCCACGGTGGTGCGGTCCTTGCGGCAGCCCAGCGACTGCAGGACGCTGACGTGGCTGTGCGCGCGCTCCGTGCCCAGCGTGTTGGACATCTCACACGTGTACTTCCCCGCGTCCTCCAGCACCACGTTCCTGACGATCAGCAGCTGGTTGCCCGAGGTGAAGTGGTGCCTCTCTGTCACCACCAGGGGCTGGTCGCCTTTCAGCCAGGTGATGCGGGGCGGGGGGCTCCCCGTGGCTTTGCACTGGAGAGCCACGGTCTCACCGACGGACACCACGTGATCTTCCAGCGGATGGACCAAAGACGGTGTCTCTGCAGGAGAATGAACACAGAAATTGATTTTTAAGGGACAGTGTAACAACAGGTTTAACATCACTGAATGTTCCTCGTGTTCCTGCAGACACAGTGATGCACGAAGAAGGCACATGCTCAGGAATATGGCAGCTGCACTCCACAACAGATCTAGCAACCACAGCCAACTGGTGTTAAGTTTTCCCAACAAGAAACTTCTGAGGATGTGGGCCAACAGCTGAAACGTGAATTATTTCACAGACCAAGAGAGATCACGTGCAATTTCCTTTTGAAGTCATTGTCCCAGACAGCAAATAGAGTGTTTGGAGGGGCTTCCTCAGTACAAAAGGAGATGCAACTTACAGCTCCTTCTCTTACTTAACAGGTATTTTTCATTAGTGAACTACAGTGTAAAATAATGAAACAAGACTAAACAGATCATTTGACTCTGTCTCTCTTTTATCTGCAGCAGGAAAAGAGCTTAACGGCCATCCCTCAGCCTCCTGGAGCACTGGTGATGCCTTTTTGGGACTACCTGAAAACAGAGGCCAGACAAAATTAAGGGAATAAAAGCAGTTATATTTATTGAAGGGCCTTCATATTCATTTAGGGCAGATGAAGCGCCCCCAGGGACTACACCCAAAAATGGATGACAGGTCATGGGTGTTCACACTTTTATCAGTTTGGTCCACTTGCATATTGGGGGTTAATCTTCCAATTACAGCTTCAGGTAATGAAGTGATTTACCCCAAGTTTGCTGCCCCCCACAAGTGACTTTTGTTTCCATCTCTCAGGGCCTGAGACAGCAATGTGTCCTTGATTCCCAGGCCTAGAGAGGAATTGCTTTGTCTGACCAAAATGGGAGAACAGCAGCTAACAGTCTATATGGAGTTCAGAGCTGTACACTAAAGAACCGCAGGATTACAAACACATGAAAACCACAAAACCTAGAAGGCATCTCACCCAGCACGGTGAGCGTGGCGTTGGCGAGCACGGAGCCCGCAGAGTTCTGGGCCGTGCAGCTGTAGACGCCCATGTCCTCGACCTTGACGTCGGTGATGAAGAAGACGTCGTCGTCGGGCATGACGTGCATGCGGCGCTCGCGGGCCGCGGGGAAGTCGGTGCCGCCGTCCTTCTGCCAGGCGATCTGCGGCGGCGGGTGGCCCTCGGCCGCGCACTCCAGCCGCGCCGTCGTCCCCGTCCGGCTCGTGATGTCGTGGGGGGTTTTGATGAATGATGGCAGCACTGAGGAAGGAAAAACAAAGGGCATGGGGAAATACTGTCTTCTGGGCAGTTCTTTGTTCTTCCCACGGAGGGATGAAGGTGACAGCCATGGGCCATGTGCTTCTGGCTAGATAGTTCTGAACAGCTGGGGAGTGACCCCGTGTTTCTACAGAACACACCTGTCTGCAGAGCCCATGACACTCAGATCATTAGAGCTGGGATCAAAGCTCTAATTTTCTTCTCTGAAAACCTGGGGAAAAAAAATCTGTTCTCTCTCCTACAGAGAACTTCCAACTGCTACACCCCTCTTTGCACCGGTTTGTATTTTTGTTTTCATTGGGCAAAGAATCTACCTGAGCACCCAAAGAGCAGCAGTACAAGCTGCTAAGAACATGTATGCTGAAGTGCTTGGCTGGATGGCAGCCAACACAAAATGGTGTGTGCTCCTCACAGGGCATTTCCCAGCATCCACTGAGATACAAACAGCTGCTGTGCAGAGTTAAGAGCTCACCATCAGGAATGGACCCTCAGGAGCAAGGAATTGTGTGGCATTCACATTCTCTGGAAAAATCCCTTCATCCAGGATTTTTCTCCTGGGAAGCTGAGAAGCCTCACAGAAAAGGGAAACAATTATTATCTCATTTGCTTTTCCTGTGTTTTGCTCATCTGGAATGTGTTTGGAGATTGTTTACCAACAGGTAATTGTTTCTTTGGATTCTGGTGTGAGTTGCTTTGACTCAATGGCCAATCGGTGCCAAGCTTTGTCAAGACTGGAGAGAGCCATGAGTTTTCATCATTATCTTGTTAGCATTGTGTAAGTATCCTTTCTATATTCTTCAGTATAGTTTAGTATAGCATTCTTTAACATATTACAGTATCGTAAAATACTAAATTAGCCTTCTGAGAACGTGGAGTCAGATTCATCATCCCTTCCTTCATCGGGGCACCCCGCAAACACAACAGAATTGTACCACATCCGAGCTCAGGCTGGAGAGAAGAGGAAGCAGTTCCCACTCACCATTGACGGTGAGGCGGGCCTTGTTGGAGTAGGTGGAGCCGAAGTGGTTGGTGATGACGCACTGGTAGCGGCCCTCGTGCGCGAAGGTGACGTGCCGCAGGTGCAGGATGGTGGTGCACTCCATCACCTCCCCGTCCTTGGCCCGCACGTGCGCGAAGTTCTCGATCTCGGCGTTGTGCAGCATCTCGTTGTCCTTCTTCCAGGCAAACACCATGGGGGAGCTGCTGCTGCTGGCCGCCAGGCAGGTGAAGCGGATGTCCTTGCCAAGGACGGCCACCGTCGTCTCGGGCTGGATGATGATCTGTGGCTTGGGGAAATCGTCTGGGGGGAAACAGCAGCAACAGTCAGTGCTGGACTCTGAGGGGAGACTGGGGCAAGCCAAGAAGTGGAATGAGAAATAAGCAGTGCTCTGTAGAGCAGGTGTGCCACACACAGCTCCACTGAGTCTTTGGTTTATGTGGTATTGTGGTTCCTCTGGTCCCCTCATGGGGCTGAGATGGTCACTGAGTGACCTCAGACACCAACAAGACACCCAGCTCCTTCACCAACTGAATCTGAGAAAGATACTATGGTCTAAAGAATATATTCAGACAATATTCAGGTTGTCCTTCTTTGTACAATCCAAGCATGAAGAGCATGACTGAACTTAAAGCCTCACCTCCAGACCTGTATTGGCATGAAGTAGGAGGGGAGAGGGCACTTAAAGGGCTGCAAGTGTCACCTCCAGGGAAAATTACCCACAAGAGGTTTTAGTGAGGTGGGGATTGGTCTCTTCTCCCAGGCAACAGGACAAGAGGCAATGGCCTCAAATTGTGCCAGGAGAGGTTTGATTAGCTAATAGGAAACAGTTCTTCCCCAAAAGGGCTGTCAGGCACCTGAACAGGCTGCCCAGGGAGCAGGGAAGTGGTGGAGTCACCATCCCTGGAGGTATTTACAAGATGTATCAATGTGGTTTAGTGGTGTGTTTGGCTGTAGGAAGTTAATGGTAAGTTAAAGTGAAAAGATCTTAGAGGTCTTTTCCAGCCTAAAGGACTCCACGATGCAGCCCAGGCTGTCAAAGCAGAAGCAGCTGTATTTGCCTGTCACCCGACCAGGGTGGAAAGCTTTGCACACTCTCCCTCTGCCCTGAAGACTGTTGGTTTTAGCAAGGTTCCAAGCAGATTCATTTATTAGGTTTCTACAAATGGTGTAATTTAATATTTGACTAAGGTTTAATTAAACAGCCAGGCCTCTGGAACCAGGACTACTAGTGCCTGGAGGACTTGGCAGGCACTGGGAAGCAAAGCTGCTTTTGCTTTGTGATGTTGCTGTGGGGATGGAGCTTTCAGGATCTCTTCTTCCAGATGAGCACAGCAAGGCTCCCTCCCAGCCTGCTCAGACAGAGGCCACCTAGGCAGAGGCTGTCACTGGGGGATCAGGAGGGACACTGGAACAAAGCTTCTGCTCCGTGTGCAGTGCAAGTCATGCATTCAGCTCAGTTAAATAGTGTTTGCAAAAGCTCATTTTTCCTTCAAACAGCCATGTGCAGCTCCACCCAGGATCCTCACTGGTTGGCTCCACTGCACAGGGCTTGGCTCCCAGACCAGACCTTTCTTTTCCCCAAAACCTGGATGCCTGAGCAGCACTGATTTGGCCTCTTCTGATGATTTAAATTTCTTTTTCATTGTGAGAAAGGCAGTAGATGTTTATGTGTGCTGGTATTAAGTAAAGCTGCTTTGAAACCGTAGCTCAGGTACAGAGTCAACTGCAGTATTTGGGTGGGCCTTACTGGCCCCAAAGAAGCAGCTTTGATGGAGGGATTCTCCTCTGGGTTTTATTTTTAACTCTTTGTTGTCTCCAAGATGGAGAAAGGATGGGTGAGGAACACAAATCTACAGAAAAACTCAGAACACTGCAGAAGTAAAAAAAAATTACAGCTGCAGTCTTGATACTATCAAACTGAGAGCACTGGGGCTGTCTCCAAGAGGGAGAAAGGATGGGTGAGGAACACAAATCCACAGAAAAACTCAGAACACTGCAGAAGGAAAAAAATTACAGCTGCAGTCTTGATACTATCAAACTGAGAGCACTGGGGAAGTGTCTGTGCAGCCCCATCTGGAAGTGGAACAGGCCTTAGTCCCTTTTGATTTAATACTCAGGGAGCCCTGTAAGGAATACTCTGGATGCAAGCAATGCACTGTGTGGTTTTAGTGGGAAATAAATTGTAGCCAATGACAAATTTTTTAAATGCAGGCTTGGGCTTCCTTTGATCCCACTGAATAACAAAACAAAACAGAAACCCTCTCATAATAACATGCTGGTACTCAAAGAAAATGTTTCCCAAGTGACTCCTACCCTTCACACAACCTCAAAACACGCAGGCAAGACTTACCACACACAAAACTCTCTGGCTGGATGGCAAAAATGCTCTTGCTTTTCAGTGACTCAGGATGGGCACAGGTGGCCACCACAAAGGACTGCAGCTCCTTCTCCACCAACCACTGGGGCAGCCACTTCAGCTGGCAGTCACAGAGGAAGCTGTCACTGTTAATGTGGCTGCAGGGAAACAAAACCAACACCAGCCTGCTGTGAGTCCTGCACGGAGGGAAGGCTGGGAAACTCTCAGCCCTTTCATGTTGAACACATTCCTCCTGCCCCCCCAGCATGGGTGGAAGGAAGAAAAAGGACTGCAGGGATGTCCTGAGGCACTAAAGATGTTACAGGCGTGACACATTTAGACAGCATTTCATCTCCACACAGAGAAGCCCCCTCCTGTACTGCAGTGACACTCTGCAGCTCCTGGTAATTATTAACCAGCTCCCAGAGTGATCCCCAGGAACAGACAAGACACATCAATGAGCTCCTGCTCTGCCCCTGTGGTTTGAGCCTTTGGTGGGGACCAAATTCAGCATTTAGCTGCTGACCAGAGAGAGAGAGAGAGAGAGGACACCCAGCGCCCACTGAAAGGCCTCGAGCTCCCTCCATGGCAGAGCAGTAAGCAGAGAGACCCTGCCTGCCATAAGGTGACCCTGGAGCTGTGTTTACTGATTAAAAGAAGCAGTAGAGGAGAAATGACCAAATATATTTGTGTAAACCCCACAGAAACAGTAACTAGTCTGGAAAACAAAACACATAAACATTTCTCAGCATCCTGAGTTCCAAACCCACCATTGCAGGATTCTGCAATTCTCTGATCCAACACTAGCTTAGCACCTTCTGTTAGGAAAAGAGGTGTGGACAAGGAGCAAAGAAAAGGGGAGCTTTGGGATTAATGTGGGCTCTTTTCAATATTCTGGGCCAAATTATGGCTCAGCAGAGCTCTAAGGCCTGTGAAAAACTGTAGATTTACACAAACAGGGCATCCATACTTTGGTCTGGTTTGCAAAACTCAGTCTGATCCTTGGAATTGAATGTAAGGATGCCTCAGAGACTGGGAAAGTGCCCCAGAGAGAGCTCCTGTTCTGCAATCCTACAAGCTATGCAAGAGCAGGGTATCAAGAGCACAGCAGAATCCCAACTCCAGCACTGCACTGTAAGATGTGAATCTCTTGCTAATTTTCTACCCAATACCTCAGGAAATCCTGAAGTTCAAAATGAGCAGAGAAGGGGAAAAGAAAGAAATTGACTGGAGAGGGAGGGAATATAGGGATTTTTATATATAGGGATATAGGACTTTTCAAAGCTGTCCACTTTCCTGTTCTAGAAAGATGTGTAGCCTCTAACACATATGATGGCATAAAACCCTCCTGGCTACTTGGGACAGGTCAGGAGATCCTTCAGCACAATGCATTCTGCCTGTAAATGTCCTCTAGATGAACTTCTCCATTTTATAAACATTCCTACACACAATATCTAGGATCTCACTATCTCTTCCTAATAGGATCAGTCTTTCATCTCAATTTAGTTTCAAGTGCCAGTGCAGAAGATAAAGTTTTTAATCACACAACAGACACACAGTGTTTATCTTCTTCACTGCCTGTCACTGGTATCAAGTGTCACTACCAGCAGTGACCATCTGATTCCCATTTCCAATGTCAGGAGCAAGAACCTGCACCTGCCCAAATACCAAATAAATGATTTCGTGTTCCACAGACACTGCACTACTCTGGGGCATAGCAACACACTGACAGTGGATTAAATATTCATGGGGAAGAAGAGAAAAGGAAACCAGGCAAGACTGGAAACAGTGTCTGATAACAGCACAGAGCCCCAGCCTGGAGTACAAGCAGCAGCTCTGATAACACATCTGTATTTTTACACCAGAAGGCTGAATGACAAGTTCAAATGGTGCTTATCACTGCAGTATCAGTCCTGTGTGTGAACCCTAAACACAGGAGCAGCAAGGGAGCAGATGGGCCACTGGGAATGAAATCCATGGTGCTGTGAGCAGGAGAGCTGCCTAACAGGAGCAGGGCTGCACTTCCTGAATGGAGATGAATGACTGCACAGGCACAAACCTGCTGGAAAAACCTGTTCCCCATGATCTCATTTCACTCACTATTGCATGCAACGACAGCTCCTCGTGTGTAAAAACCCCACAGAGGAGGATGCAGGGGTGGAGGACATGAATGAGTGGCAATGTGGGTAATGTGCTGCTGCTGCTCAGGTGCAGGGCCAGGAGGAGCCCTCCTGCCCCAGGGGGTGTGAGCAGGACAATCACTCACAGCTGCCGCAGGCTCCTCATCCTGGCAAAGGCGTCGGCTTGGATGGAGCGGATGGCGTTGGCCCCGAGGTTCCTGCAGGCACAACCACAGGCAGTGTCAGCCAAAGAGATGCCATGGCTGGGACAGAACCTCTCCACTCTGATTTAAGCAGTAACTCGAGTAAAAGGTGATTTGGTAGCTCCTTGTTAAGGCCTTCAGCACTTACAGAGCAGAGAGATGTTCCTCAAAACACCTTTGTATTAATAAAGTATTGCTGAACAATAGACATTTGGTAGCTCCTTGTTTGAGGAACATTTCTATGTGCTGTAAGTGCACATAGAAATGTTCCTCAAAACACCTTTGTATTAATAAAGTATTGCTGAACAATAGCCAGCCAACAAAAATTACACTTAACTGAATCACTAAGTCATTCCCTACCCCATCTTCTCACTGCATTTTCTCAGTCTGAGCTACCTCCATCATCCATAGCTCAGAAATTCCTCAGCCCCCTCGATAACCAAAGATAGTCAGGAATGTGGTACCCCAGGCTAGACCTTCAGCAAACATAAAAGAAAGCAAATACTTGCACTAAGCAGCATCTGAGGAATTACTTGAAAGTGACTTGGAGAGGATACTGTTTTTAAAAAATCCCAGTATCTCCAAAGGAAGGGGTTAAAGGCTTCCTTTACAACTATTGCTAATTTGAAAAATTGTTCTCTGAAAAAGCACAGTGCCAGATTTAGGGCTGGAGTTTACTAAGTGACCTGTAGGGCAGATGAGCACTGCCTAAAGAGGACAATTTCAGTAGAGAATTAAGGGCACCTTTATTTGGGAATGTACTCCCAGTCAGGCAGCCCAAACCTTTCAGTGTGCTCTTGATGGCCATAACATTTCGTACAATCAACAGCCAATAAAACATGTAGAGCACAGTCACATATACTTTAACTTGTCTTAATCCAAGAAAGGAGGTTATTCATGAATCACTGCTGGAGTCATCAGCCTTGGGACACAGAAAAAAAATACAGAGGCAGCCAAAATTCACTTCTTGCAAATGGCTCTAAGGGGGTTGTGCTGAATGGGGATGTTCAGTGGGGATGCATCAAACCCAGTCATCTGTAAGACGTGTCACTGCCAGAGCCCGGGTTTAGGAGGGAGCTGGGGCAAAGGAGGAGAGTGCTATGCCTGCACCAGCCTCTTTTCATGGCTAACAGCCTGCAGAGCAGTAATGTGCAAGTCAAGGTGATACTCTCAAAAATTAAGAGCATGCAAATTTCCCATATGTTCTATAACTTTGTTCCTGGCACAAAAAAAGGCCAAAGTTGAGGCGGACTTATAATGAGAAGGAAGCAGGTGGCCCCCACAAATGGACTGGCTTCTCAGTTTACAAAGACACTATTAAATTGCTAGCAGATTTCTCAAGCAGCTACTTTTGGCAGACCCCCCTTCCCAAACTCTGAGGCATGGTGGGTTACTCACAGGTGCTCCAGAGCCTCCAACCCTGAGAACGCTTTCTTGGCCACCGACTTGATCTTGTTTCCAAACAGAGTTCTGCAGTTTCCAAACATCCAGTGCCAGATAAACAGAAAGAAAATGGGGAGAGGGGAGCAAAAAAAAAAAAAAAAAGGAACACAATTAGTGTGGCTTTATCTGATACACACACTCAGTGTAAGTCCCAGGAAATCTGAACTGCACAGAGATTAAGAGGGCTGAAGTACACTCGCTTTCCTGCTCCTGAAATGAAATCCTTTTATCTGTATTTGAATTTAATAGTGATGACAGCGCAAAAGGGAATGTGCCATATCATGTAAAAAGGCAGGCTTGCTCCTATGCTTGGGAACCAGCTTGCTGAGTAACAGAAGGTCCCCTCTGTTCTTCACAGGCTGGCTGTGGACAGGATTAAGTGCAGTGACAGTTTAACAAGACATTGATTACTCCCCACAAACTTTTCATTTCTGACTTCTTCCCAGACAGGAAGGAGAGTGGTGATTTCTTCCCTGGTGCTTGGCCTGAGCAGCTATCAGCACACAGGGCTGAGGGCTGCCCCAGGGCTGCACATTCACCCAGCAGCTGACTGGAGGCACTGCTCATTCCTTCCTGTAAATGCAACAGCAAAGCAACACCATGCAACAGATCACAGCCAAGGGATAATTGCAAGGAGCAAAAGGCAGACCAGGTAATGTGCAGAGCTGAGGAGTGGGTTTGCTTGCATCTGTGACCAGAGCATTCCTCTGAATCAGCAGTGGCACGAGGGGGCTATCAGCAGAAAACAGCCAGCTGGAGAGATCCCAGCCCAGCTGTCATCTCCAGAGCAACAGTTCTCCATAAATATTGACCAGTGCTGATGGCCAGAGGCACGGTTTGTGCCAAATGGATAGTTCCCTCACCTGTTTTAATAAAACATCAACCAGTGTCATTAATTAGGAACTGCTTTCTTCCCCAGGCTCCCTCTAAGGTTTATCCTCCAGGTGCATCTGTTATCACCACGTGGTGTTCAGGACACCTCAGGTGAAAAAAGGGCACATCTGGTGCTGCATTTGATTTTGAGTTTTCATTCAAGAGCTGTCTTTCAGTATAGGGTGTGAAGGCCCTATCTGCACCCCAAAAAGACTCAAAACTATGATGGCCCCACTGCTTGCTTACTGGCCAGGGAAAGGAGTACAGGATGGAGCATGTGCAGCCATTCCATGAGCAAATACATTTCCAAGAACTTGTCAAGGCTTTCCACAAAGCACTTTTCAAATGGCAGGATAATTTGGTTATACACTGGCTGCAGGAAAGCCCAGTCTCAAATACCCTCAGCACCAAAGGATGTGTGCAATCATGTGTGCCAGCATTTGGTAAAAGGGATGTTGCATTAATGAAGGCTTTGAAAAATCCATTAGAATGATTAATACAGTAAATAATTTATTATATGTAAACTCTGGTCAAATTGATGCATCCATACACAATGATTTCTGCAGCCATATTCCTAATAAATGTGTTATAAGGACAAGGTAAGGACAAAATAAGGACTAAAGGAAATGACCTCAAGCTGTGCCAGGAGAGGTTTAGATTAGATTTTAGGAAAATTTTTTTCAGAGAAAAGGTTGTAAGCATTGAACAGACTGCCCAGGGAAGTGACAAAGTCACCATCCTTAGAATTGTTCAAAAACATGTGGATGTGGCACTTCAGGACATGGTTTAACGATGAACATGGTGATGGTGCTAGGTTAATGGCTGGACCTGATGATCCTAAATACCTTTCCCAACCTTTATGATTCTAATGGAAGTTAGATGGGCAACTGCTGCTGAAAAAATTATGCTGAGCTTGGGTTTTATAGCTGCAGATTTCTACTACTGTTCAGTAGATTTTGGTCTTTTAAAACTGGAGATACTGCTGATATCTGTTCAGTTATCTGTGCAGAGATAAGGAGTGCACCTGGGGAAGGGAATACACAGCCACAGCACTTGTGCAGGTGCACACAGCTCAATGCCTGGACATGAGAAATACCTAACACACTTAACAAGTCAGGCCTCAGCAAACTCATTACTCCTTGCAACTAATTTCAATTAAGTGCCTCTAGAAATCTGAGAGTTTGAAGCCAGAGGCCCCCATCAAAGGGCTGTGAGGGCTGGAATGTGAAGGCAGCAGAACACAGCCACAATTAGCCATCCCACTGCTGGCCTGAACCTCCTCCAGGGGCAGAGCCAAGCACAAGCTCTCCTGGAGACTGCACCAGGGTAATTACATGCCTAGCACACAATTCACTGCAGTGTTTTCTCCTCCAGCCAGTTTTGCACCTGCAGGAAGATCTCGCTGAGTGAGCCATCAAAAAGCTGGTTACATTTAGCAGCTTGAATAATTAGGAACCTCCTTGTTCCACAGTGATTCCACCGGTGCTGTTTGTGCTTCAGTGCTTCTCAACTCCCTCTTTCTTCAAGCAACATTTTAATTTAGGCCTGTGCTCTCCATCCTGGAGAGCTTCATATATAATTCAGAGAAGGCTAAAGTGACTGGCCTCTCCATCTCTGTTTAACACCTTCATGTCAGCGAACAACCCTCTCTGTGCTAAATCCTTTCAGAGGCTAATCTGTGCCAGATCAAAGGGGAATGGCTTTTAAGGCAATCTCCACAGAGCTGAGGTGATTATTAATTCATTGGAAGGTCTCCTCTGAAGTGCCCATTTATTTTTTGTATGCTAATGCATTTAAAGAGGCTGACGGTTTAAACACAGGCCCTAAATCACACAGTGAAATGTTTGCTGAAAGGGCTGATCTTTTATTTACAAAAAAATCCTGATACTCACTTCAGCCTTAGAAATCACAAGTTTGGGATTCATGTGCTGATAAGCTAAGACAGTTCTGAGGAGATCCCTTTAGAAGTGACCACTCACAAGTATTCTCAAAATGCCTCAAAAGAAACAAAAATGAAATAATTTCATGTTCTGAGTGTTTTTTAGCCTTACATTCTGGCTGACAGTGAAAAATATCAGCAAGTTGTCTGTCCCACAGCAGCTCACTCTGTTAAGCAATCAAACCACTCCTCTCTGCCCCAAACCAACCTGATCCACATGCTCTTCCAGGCTAAGAAATGTGCTGCAATCCCTGCACAAACCTTCCCTGCACACATCCCTCAGCCAGCCTCAGCTGGCCTGAGTCCACGTGCAATGACAGGCATCAGTCAACAAAGGAAAGAAAGACATAAACCAAACTCCCTCAGGCTTGCACAAGCCCTTAGTGCATCCTTGGCTACTGGCAGCCCAAGCCAGGCACCTTTTGGAGGTGTTCCCTGTGCTGGGTGACAAACACCACATCAGGCCACAGCATTTCACAGGGGAGAGCAATAGCTGCTCTGTCCAGAGCTCCCAGCACATGGGCTGCCCCTGCTCCCCTCCTTCCTCCTTCTGCTCCTTGCTGTTCCTCCTGGCCTCTGCCTGACCCCCACAGCTCATCAGGGCTCACTGCTCCTGCTTCCCAAGTCAATCCTTCTGCTGAACTCTTTCCTTCCATGCTGTCTCCTCTGGATTTTTCCCCACTCTCCTGTTATCTGTGCCCAGCATTTTTAACATATCCTGACCATTTGGGACCACTGGTTTTGCTGCCATGCCTGTGGCCCTGTTGGCACCACCAGGACAGCTCTGTCTGCTCCTTTCCACCACCTTCTGTCCCCTGTAAAAGCAGCACTACACACCCATAATCCTCACAGCCTGCAAATCCCACTGGACAGTCTCTGCTCCCCTCATCCTTCCAGCTGCTCACATGGTCTCACTGGTTTCTTCAGACAAACCAAACACTTCACTCAGGCAGCCAAGGACTCTTCTACCCACCACATCTGCTCCTCTGCTTTTTTTTCTGGCAGTCATGGGAAGATTCCCTGACTCTGCATGCACAGCAATTCTTACTGACTTTCCTCTCACCCCCACACTGCTTCTGCTTCCCTGCCTGGCTCCCCCTGTCCTTAAATCCTCCTCTGCCTTCTGCCCCACTTTACTGGCAGCTGCAACTTGGTCCCCTCTGTGTGGACCCAGTGACTCCCCTCAGCAACAACCAAATGCCATCTCTGTCTGTGATTTCAGTTTGTCTCCTCTAAGCACTGCATCCCCACAATCCCTGCCATGGCTCATCCTGCTCCCTGAGGAGTCCCTGATGAGAGTGTGACAATATCCCTCCTCCTGCCAGGATTCATTGCAGCCATCTGCTCTCCATCGAGGTGCTTTTACTGCACCTCTGGCTGTGCCATCCCAGCAGCACAGACAGCTGCACGGGGGGCACTGAGAACTTCAACAAAGGCAAGAGGTAATGATTAGAGACTCTTGATTTGTCACAAGCCATCAGAGGCTCCTCTGACAGGGCTGATTTATAGCACCCGTTTCAAATGGAATGGGGATTGCACAGAGCAATGTGAAACCCTGGCGAAGGCCAAGCCAGCCATAAACATTTGCAAGGCGCATGCTTGCCTTGGGATTCTTTTTATCTCTTCAAGAGCCTGTGCCCCATGGTGCCTTTTATTGTCACTGCACATGGAACTGAGCCCAAAAGATCACTCTCAGAAAGAGTATCCCACAGAAACGAGTCCTGTTTCAATCCTCTGCTGGAACAGGAAGTGGGGCGATTTTTCTCTTCTGTTTATTGTTATTTGCTGCATCAATCAGTGCCTCACTGGAGATTGCAAGGGGTCGTTTTTGGTCACTTGTTTGCTTTCAGAAGTGAGGAATGGTTGAATTTTATACATGAAAACAGCTAAAGTTTCTGTCTGTGTCTGAACTGCAGTATGTGGCAGCGTCTGTTCACCATTTAGAAAGGAAATAATTGCCCCATACCTGCTTAAAAACATCAGTGCTTGAAAACCACATTTGCACTCCTGCAGTGAGCCTGCAAAACTACTACAGCTCAGATTTTCTGTTGATTTTTGTCTTGTTCCAAGGTGAGAGAGGCTGCATAAAAAGGGACAGACCCAAGCCCACACAGGCACACAACAAAACTGGCTTACAGAATTCAAGCCCAGGGATACTCACAGCTTGCTCAGGTTTTCCAGGCCTGTAAAGGCTCCATTGGTATCTTCTATTGTGCCTGAGATGTCGTTGTGGTCCAGTTCCCTGGGGAGAGGACAAGAGAGAGCTCAGAATCAGCACCTTAGTCCCAAGTCACTGTTACAAACATTTGGGGGAGGTTGGAGAGTGCCACATGAGAGCTGCCCATTTTCTCCTGACAGCTACCAGAAAATGCAGAGTCCTGCAGCAAAGCAGCACCAATCACTTCTCCTGCCCTCACATATGGTGCATTCCAGAGCTCTGGCCTGTTCCTAGCTGAAACCCTCTGAGAGAGCAACTTTTTACCAAGTACGTTTCTGTCCCTTTCTAGTTCTGCACATCCAAACAGGAGGAAAATGAAAATAAAGCGCCAAAATTAAACTGAAAGAAACAGCTGTCCTTAAATGCTACTACCATGAAATAAGATCACTTTGGGTATTCCAGTGTATATGTGTATTTGTCTATAGCTCAATCTTAGGAAGATGATTTGGTGTATTTTCTACAAAGCTGCATTTTTTCTGCCAATGAACTTGAAAACTCAACAAAGGAAAGTGCCAGCATCACTACACCAGCCTAACTCGGTATAACCATTTGAAAAAAACCAAGAGAATTCCTTTTTCAGAGTTAGCTTCTTTTGGCTTTCAAATTGACCATCAATTACAAGAGTCAAAGAGGTCTGAAGAAAAACAAGCACACAGAACAAACACAGAGATCCACAAAAGCTGTTTAAACAGACTGTTTAAAAATCCTTCCCTCCCAGCTTTTAAATCCAGCTAGCAATGAATACCCAGCAACACAGACAGAAATTCATCATTTCCAATGTTAAGTAAAAAGAAAGAAAAACTAAATAGGCTTTGTTGGTTTTGTTACATCACTCTGATTTAAAACCTGGCAAAACACAGCACCAAAGCAAACTTCAGCATCCAGATAACCCCTGAGCCCTCAGGTACTCCTTTCACACCTTTTGAAGATGATTATCAGAACATTTCCAGATAAAAAAATATTAAGACCAAATAAAGAAAAACCAAGTCTCCCTGCATTTTGCAACACTCCAGACAGGCAACACAGTGTGGCTTCTGGGCAGCACAAATACACAGTAACTCACAGAAGGGAAAACAAATTTAAAAGAAAGCCCCAGTTTCAATATGGGAATGCTTTCCCTCAGCTGGCTCAGTCTTTGCTCCTTTCTCTGCTTTAGGGTGAACTAAAGATGTGAAGGGAGATTGCCAAAAGCCACAACTCCTGTTTCTCAGCTGGCTTAAGTCTGAGACCTGAATCTGGATGTCAGGGTGACCTGGGGGCTGCTCTGTGCCAAAGGCATGGATAAAACCTCAACATCCCCGTGGGGAGTGGGCACACATAATGCTGTGGGGGCCAAGGGATGAGTCCAGCAGAATGCTTTGATGTGCTGGCATTTCCAGCACCATCCTAGTGGGACAGGAGCAAATCCATCCTCCTGGAGTTTCTACATTTTCCCTAGGCTTGCCAAGCCAATGTCCCCTGTTCTGTTTGTTTTTTAAGGGAAAATCCCTTCTCAGACATTTCTCCTCTTCAGTTTCACCACGGGCTACTGGTCTTTGGAGCAGCAAACCCTTTCCCATGGCAGAGACAGACAAGTGGGAACAGCCTGTAGGAGCTCTGACACACACTTTTATTAATTGACTGCCACACATTGTGTTTTCTTGAAAAAGGGAAAGAAAATGGTATTGGCTTGTTCATCCAGTGGCAACTCAAAGGTTTAGTGTTAGAAAGGAGGAATAAAAAAACCTTTTTAACAAATGAGTGAAAATAGAGAGAGGGAGAAAAAAAGAGTGGGGCATTTTGGCCCAGCTCTCTTTGTATCCCAACTCCTCTCCCAGCCCCTGTTGCCAATTTCCTATTCTTTCTGGCTGGCTGAGCTTGAATGCTCGCAGCCTTGTTAATCATTGTGCTCAGAGGTCTCCGGGCCTGACCTCTATTTGAATAGCTCCACATTTCAGCAGTTTCACACCCACCAAAGGCTCCCCAACAATAGCCCATAATTAAAGCATGCTCAGCTCTTTTTCACCAGGTGCAGGACCCAATAGGCCTTTCTCTTTATTAAATTAGAGCTCGCTCACACACTCCCCTCTCCACCTCCCCCCCTCTGCCCTGGACATAAAAGAGGCTCCACATTCACTGCAGAGCAAAGAGAAGGACCAGCTTCCCTTCCCTTCCATTTTTCTTTGGAAACCTTTAGTTCCGGTCTTGACAGCTGCCTCAGAGAGGTCCCTTTCTCAATGCCCACTGGCTGAAAGGCTTTGGCTCAAGTTTAAAAAAAGCAAACAAAACCCAAACTCACTTTCCAGTCACTTCCTTCACTATGAACTTCAGTAAAGAAAAGAGTAAGATGCAAAAAGTACTGTAAAGAGGGGAGATTTTTCTGTTCCCATTTCCTTTTAATGACTCAGGCCACAATGGGCTTCTGAAGAGGAATAAAAGTATCAAAGTGTGTTTTTTTCTTTTGAAGGAAGAATTAAACCAGTTTGCTGAACCCAAGCAGCCTGGGAACGTGCCTGGTGCTGTCACAAGGACTGTGAGAACTCTGTGGTGTGCCAGATGAAGGTGCTGAGCCTGCAGCTCCCAGAGGAGGAGAGCAGCCAGCAGCCCTGCAGGTTCCAGTAGGGACACAGAGGCAACACAGCTGCAGGAATGGAACTGGATCCCCATCTTCTGAGGTTCATAAGACAAGCCCAGATGTACTTCAGTCTCAGCTCTCAGTGTGTAATGGTACAGTGCTATAACTGTGTCACAGTCATATTTTCTGAAAAATCTCTTTGCCCAGGATTCTTCTCCTGGAAAGCTGAGAAGCCTCAGAGAAAAAGGAAAACAATAATTATCTGATTGGCTTCTCCTGATTGGCTTTAGAATGTGTTTACACATTATTTACCAACAGGTGGTTGTTTCATTGGTTTCTGCTGTGAATTGTTTTGACTCAATGGCCAATTACAGCCAAGCTGTGTCAGACTCTGAGGAGTCACAAGTTTTCATTAGTATCTTTCTAACCTTCTGTCTGTATCCTTTCTCTATTCTTTAGTATAGTTTAGTAGAGTATTCTTTAATAGAATATAGATCATAAAATAATAAATTAGCCTTTTAAGAACAGAGAGTCAAATTCATCATTCCTTCCTTCCCTCGTCAGGGGTCCCACAAATACAACACAACTACATCCCACAGGAGGTCACACTCATCTGTCTAATGGGCTCTACTGCTCCTAAAACCTTACAGGCTGGTATTTGGACTAGGCAAGATCACTTCCAGTATCACATTTCCAGGTATTATATTGTGTCAGTGGCTTTAAAATAAAAGTCTGTGTAAATGGACACAGCCAGGACTGGATGGATAATTTCTGCAATTCAGTACTAGGGCACACAAAATTTTGCTCTTGGCAACTTTTTGTTTTTTCAGGGTTTCCCATGAAAATCAGAGCACAGAATGTTTTCTGGGCCAAACTACATTAAAGACTTCTGCTTATTTGCATGGTACCTGCAAAAGCTTCTTATTTCTGTGACTGGACTGAAGGCTGGGTGAAGTTTCATGCATTGTTACACTTCTGGTACAGTCAGATGCCAAGCCTAACCTCTAAATTCTTTGTTTTCCAACTGTTTTTTTTTTTTCTTAACACCATCTTATGATAATAATTTAATATTTAATCATAATTTTATATTTGATCATAATTTTCTACTTTATATTCAACCTCTAAATTCTTTGTTTTCCAATTGTTTTTTTTCCTTAACACCATCATATGATAATAATTTTATATTTAATCATAATTTTATATTTGATCATAATTTTCTACTTTATATTCAGTTAAGTAAAAATGAACACAGCATATTTAAGCAAGTTCAATAGCATATTTAAGAGGATACTCAATTTTCCAGAGCTGTCATTGGAAGGAATCATTCCTTCCTCCTTCTGAGTGCAGAATGACCCAAAAGAAACTAAGCTTTTCTAAGAATTTCAATTAAAGTCCACATGATAGCAAGAGAAATGCTGCTATTAGATGCAGGAATGAGACCTCAGGGATTTTTGGTCAGCTGAGGTGGCCTCAGGAACCTGAAACTGCCAGACATGGGCACCCAAAGCACCTTCAAAGCAGAACCACAAACAGTGGGGGGAACATGGGTGGTCTGACAAAAGCTGAGAGCAACTTACAGGACACGGAGGTTTTTGAGTCCCCTGAAAGCCCCTTCTGCAATGTGGTTGATGGAATTGTGGCTCAGCCTTAGCACGTGCAGTCCCCCAAGGTCTGCCAGGCTTCCCTCGTCCAGCCTGGTCAGGTTGTTGTAGGAGAGTATCCTGAGGGGAAAAATGCAACAAACAGCTCTGGTCAATCCATCTGGCATTTTCCAAACTCCTCTGTGCCAAGCAGTGCCTGCCTCCCACAGCCAACATGACATGAGGTGATGAGGAAATAAGATTGATTGGAGTATTGCCCCAAAACACCCATGGAGAAGCCTGGGTGACACCAGGGAGCAGCAGGCAGCTGGCTCCCAGCTATGGGACAATTTTCTGTACAGGCTACAGAGAAAGGCTGCCCCAGGAGTGGCTGAGAGCACCAGCCCAGCACACACACACACTGTCAGCTCCAGCAGGGAGAGCTCCTCCTGCTCCCAAGCAGCTGGGCGAGGGTCTGGCAGCACCAGCCCTGTGTCCCCACAGGCAAGGCTCAGGTGGATGTGCTCAATCCCCACTCCCTCTGAGCTCACAGGGAACAGCAGGCCCTGCTCCCCACGCCCTGCGAGGTGCAGAGTGATGTCACACTGATGGATTCTGGAGCTCACACAGGCTCTTGGCAGGGTGCACACTGCTGTGCTCAGGAGGTGCCTTATCATTCTGCACTTGTGCACAGCCAGCCCCAGGCTCTGGGTGTGGGTGCCTCAGCTCCACCCCAGTCCAGAGCCAAAAGCATTTCACCACAAGGCAATTGAATGCTTCCTTTCACCCACAGAAAGGAGGTGCCTGTTGTAAACCAGCCACCTTTCCTTCCTCCCACTCCCCTTTGTCAAGGAGCACAGTTTGCCTTAAATCCTCTCCACTTACAAGGGACTGCTGGAGGGTTGTTTTTTTTCCTAGTTTTCCATCTGTCTCTTCCCCTTGCCTGCATTATCTCTGGTCTGGGAGATTTTTTATTAAGCACTGCTCCTGTTGCAGTTGGAAGCTGGCAGGAAGGCAGCTGCTTTTCTCTCCCAGCAAGGTGCAGATGAGGTTTTGGAGATGTGACACTGAGGGCAAGCCTTGGGAAGCTACTGCAGCCACCTCACACACTGTGCAGCCACCTCCTAGCCAGAATAGAGCCCTGCTGTGGAAGGACAGCCTGGATTCTCAAATGAGAGAACTCTCAGAGTAGCAGCAGGCACCAGATTTTCAAAACCTCCTTCTTAGTGACCTGGGAGTGCAACTCACTTCAAAAGATCTGAGGGTTTGGGCTGCTCAGCTTTTGAAAAAGTGAAACAGCTTTGAACAAGCACTGAAATTCTTCACTGTACAGACAAGAAAAAAAAATTCACTGAGTTCCAAACCTCCAAATTCCTCTTCTAGTACTGCCTGTTAATGAGTCTGCTTAAAAATGTGTCTAGGGCTTGCATGAAATTCACTGCAAAGCCAAAACCTAAGTCCAAACAGACACATACTCCAAAGCACTGAGAGTGTCATTTACTTGGCAAAGGGGCTGTCTATCTTTTAGCTGTGTGAGTGGGCAGAGGGCAAGCTCTGGAAAAAATTCAGCAAAGATTAATGAGTTTGAAGGTATGGGACAACATACTTTCATTCCTAAAGAAGCTATAGTGTTAGTTATGAAGAACTGGCATCTGGTCAAAATTATGTCCTCACCTGCTATTAAAGAATTTGGCTTTAAAAAAAAAAAAAGTTCAAAAGTAATCCTAAACCTGGCTGAGAAAATAAATAGTTCCTTTTGATTCCACACATAAGAGTTCCTGCCACAACTGGTGAAGGCATGTTCCCTCTGTTTGTTTGTCACCCCAAGATGGACAGACAGCAGCAGGATGTGGGGACTCTCAGTGGTGTCACACATGGAAGGTTTCAGGGGCTACTGCACCTGGCAGGGGCCTCTTCAGCATGCCAGGGCTCTGCTTCCTGCCACAGCACAGGCCAATTTGCAAAATCAGGTTTCCCCCCTCAGCTCAGCAGTGTGGGTTATCTGGTTGAGAGAAGCCAGAAGATCTCTGCTGCTTCCCTGACCTGGGGATAAATCACTGGCATGAATAAATGGCAGTGTTTGTCTACACAGCCCTTCCAGCCTGGCCAGAGGTAGGAGATTTTGAGCACCATGCCAAAATTGGTGCAGAAAGGGGTTAACCAGAACCCTGTTGTGCAACTGGAGCTGCTGCTGCCAGCCTGTTCTGGACCAGGCACATCTAACACACCTCATTCCCCTTGACCAAGCTACAGGTAAAAAGGGAAAGGAAAGCCCCAGCAGCCAAGTCACCATTTACCTCTGATGAAATCCTCTGCTCCTACTGTGGTTTTTTCCATGATGCTGATGCTCTAGCACCTGACTGGTGAATACAATCAGCCCTTTCTCATGCTCAGAACAAGGCAAGAGCTTTCTTTCCTTGTCAGCTTTTACATCAGCCCAGAGCCTTGGGTTCACGTTTTGTCCCAGAAACTGAATGAGAGATAACTCCTCCTTTAGATGATCAACTCCCTCCTTAGAAGACTTTGAAACTCATTCTCTGTACAACCACAGTGTTTTCTGGTAACTGAAACCCAGTAGATTTAGCAACAGTGGAGGTGAGCAAAGATCTTTCCATCAGGAATTGAACATACACAACTAAAAAAGTGCACGAGTCAGTCTAGATGTACCCACGTCTTCCTTTCCTCACCCTTGCATTTCAGCATACACCTCTCCTACAGGTACTCTCTGGCTGTGGGAGTTTCACTTTGGAGACCTGATGGCTCCCTGCAGCAGCCTTACCCCAAAGGCAACACCTGGAAGAGCTTGTAGCCCTTTCCAGGGCTGTGCTAACACCCACACAATCGCCTTTCCCATCTCAGGCACTGGCCTCAAACTGCAGCACAGTTCTGCCTGTCAGGTCAGGCACACTCCAGTGGCTCCCACCACCAGGCATTCTCTAAACCTACCCCATCCTGCACCCCAGTTTCTGCAATCACTGCTTCTAACACAGGACAGGCCTCACTGTTAGAGCTGCTTGTTGGATGAGATTCTAATCCATACTTCAGAAAAAGGACTCAGCAGGACAAGCAACCTCCAATCTAAACCTTGAGGGTTTGCAAGACAGTCATGTAGAGAAGACAAGCTTAGCTCTCCCTAGAAGAGTTTTGCCATTAGCCCTGTGAGGTGCAGGTGGGCCTAACCCATCCCATCCAACCCAGGCTGAGATAAAAGTCAGCACAGGCACCAGATGTTTGGTCCTGAGAGCAGAAAGCTCCCAGAGCTGTGCAGTGATCTGCATTTGGCTGTTCCAAGGATTCAGCTGTGAGTGCCTTGGCAAGGCAGGTTCCTTTTTTATGGTGCTTCAGATTTTAACAGACCAAAGGCAGAGCACAGTTCCAGTTCTGATCTGCTGCCTTGAAGATGTCTCCATTAACACTGCCTTAATCTAGCAAAATATCATGTGAGGATCTCCACATGAAGGAACGGCAGCTGTACACAGAACTGTGCAAGGCATGGGCAGTTCTGCAGCAATTTAAAAAAATAGGTAATTAAACAATCATGTGTGTTTTTAATTAAAACAAAAAATAAAGTACTTCCTTGTGCCCCCAAAAAATAATCAACATCTGAACAAATAATTTGGGTTCAACAGAAGACCACAGGGTTAGCATGTTAATTCTAAACATAAAGAAATTACATGTGTCATGTCTACCCATCTCTGAATCCACAGCCCAAAGGTTTCAGGACTCACAGCTGGGTGGGCAGACACCAACCACCAGTGTGGGAGCAGAGTGAGGACTCTGGCAGCAGGAAGTTGCTCTACCATACTGCTTTTTGGTGGGCAGGAGACTCCCTAACAATGTTTAACACTTCCTGCAGCAAGCAGAATGAATTCCAGTTCCACTGACCATGTGTACAGCTCACCAAAGCAAAAAGCAAAGCTTTGCACAGTCCCACAGAGGGGATGGCAGCACCTTCTCTAAATACTGCAAGCATCCCTCTGTGTCTCTTCAAAAAGGCATTAAGCAGTGCCACAGCACCAAAAGACACTCTTGTGGGGCTGCCCTCAGCAGCAAGGCTCTCCTTCATTTGTCAGGCTGCATTCCCACCACCTCAGGAGAGCAAAGCCCCTTCATTTACTTTTCAACAACTGAACCCCACAGGAAGGATAAAGTGTAAACAGGAGAAACAAGGAGAACTGCCTTGAAAGGGCCAAATCTCTGCTGGTTGAAAACATGGTTGTTCTTTGTAAATACAGAGGATAAAGCAAAGCTTCCTTCAGGCTGTACAGTTATTATATGGCAAGTTACAAGTCTTGTAACTCACTAGCTAAAAACATTGGCAAGCCACAGCTCCCAAACTCTGCAGGTCTTTTGGCACTGTGCACTTTTAGTGGGTTCTAGCCTTTGTTTCTGGTACAAATATGTTTTAACAGGGCACCACAGGTGCTCTGAAGGTCATAACATCATAAATAACCAGGGCATCACTTGGGAGCCTGCAGTTCCTGCATTTCTACAGGTTGATACAGTGGGAGCTGTAAGCCCTGAGAAAATTCCTTACTCCCCTCTCACCTGCCAACATTACACAACACCACAGAAACCAACTTACAGCTCATGCAGCTTCTGGCAGAAGCTCCAGCCATCGGGGTTGATGCGGGATATGGAGTTGTTGCTGAGGTGAAGCTGGTGCAGAGAGGAAAGGCCATAGAGAGAGCCACTGTTCACTTCTGTCAGGCTGTTGTACTCCAGGTGGCTGTGGAGAAAAATCAGAAGGAACTGACAGATAAGCAGCACTGGTCAACTGCTGAAAGAATTTCCAAAAAGAGCTGGGATTTTAGCCATTCCTGCATCCTCTCTACATACCCATGTGGACACATGCATGTGTGAGAATTTCTTGTCAAAGACAGAAATTCAAGGACAACACAAAGGAAATGCCCAGAAGGAGATGCAACTGCAGAGAGAAGCTCCACTGCAAGTAAAGTGGGCTTAAAGCAGCCCATTCAAGTTTGCATTTGCAGAGTCTCAGTTGTATGACAGCAGCACCCAGAAAAATGCTGCCTTCATCACCTGGGACCTCACAAACACACCCGGAAGCCAAGGGTGTTGGAAGCTTCAGGTATTTCTCTGCAATGACTCTGGTATGGAAAGAAAACATCACCAAGAATGGACAGCTTGGTTTCTAGGCATCCCATGAGGTGGAATGATACTGTCTGCAACACAGAGTTTCCATCTATCAGCCAAAACAAATCTGCAGAAGCCAGATATTTAAAGACTAATTGAGATAAGTGCTGAGTAATCAAACTGTCAAACTTTCAAAGGAGTAGTGCCACAGCTTAAAAAACAGTGTTGTTTTTACTGACCACCTGCTGAAGGAGTGAGCTTTTGTAAACTGTGGGCCAGCTAAAGAGAAGCTGCTGCAGCAGCTCTGGGCATGCAGGACAAAGAAAGAAGAACAAGAAGCGGCACAGGTGCCCACGGGTACAGAGAAGGATGTGACAGCAGGTGAAAAGGAAAAAGAGCCCATTTCTCCAACTTACAGAACTTGCATTTTGGCCAGACCCCAGAAAGCCCCATCAGTCAGTTTGCTGATGTTGTTGCGCTGCAGTTTCAGGACTTCCAGGCTGTCCAGCCCCTGGAACGTCAGGCCCTCAATCAGGCGGATGCGATTCCGGTTCAGCTCCCTGAAACCACCAAGGCCAGACAAGTTTATTAAACCCCAGCCCTTTCTCACCAAGTCATCTGTGCAGCACACAATGGGGACAGCCATGCCAACAGCTCCTGTGTCAGTGGTTCCCAGGAGACAGCAGAAGAGCACCGGAAACTTTCAATCCCAGAGCTACCCAGGGAAGGCAGCTGGGTGTGAGCTCTTAAACAAACTCACCCCAGGACAGGCTTTCACTACAGAGAAATTACAGAGTGCAGCAATTCCTCTTCATCCCTCCTCTCTCTGCATTTCTTTTCAACCATTGATCCTTCTCATCAATTTCCACTCTTCATCCTCCCTCAAGCACAGACACCATTTGAACCGAAGCATTGGCATTATTTCCTTTACAATCCATTGTTTTTATAGGACTTTTAATTGCCCAGTAAAAATGTGCTCTGAAACATGCAGGTGCCCCAAAAGTGTGGGCCCAAGAGGAAACTTTATGGCCAACTCTGAAAGAAAAGCTTTCAGTCCCCCTAAAAAATGTCCCTTTCTTTTTTTCTACTATCAGAAACTAATAAAGAGTGAAAGAAGTGTTTCCAATAACAATATAGTCTTGGTATTTGTGTATACAATAGTTTCCAGCCTGGTTCATTAAATTTCTTTTGAGTTTCTCTGGGTGAGGAAGGACCCCTAAATTTTGGCAATATCTTTTTTTGTGAATAGCAATGTGAACATCATCACAGCACACTTTACCAACCTATATCAGTCTTATGGACTACTTGACCCAGACATTCCAGGTGAAAACCCAGTTCTGTTAAGTCACTGGAGAACTTCAACACAATGCACTAAAATCTGAAGCTAAAGCTTTTAAAACTGATACTTTCCCACACATACAAGATTAAGCTGAGGAGAGTTCCCTATTCAGTGTTTGTGTTGAGGAAAATGGTGGAGGTTACGACATCCAAACTTGTTTTGGAGAAGATGAAGAAGCCATAGAGACTTTAAGCTTACTTTTCAACTGCCTAAAAAAACAATGTTGAACTTGTACTCAAGTTGAGAATAATTAAAGTCAAGTAAGCAATAAAGATTTTGTAGGCCTAAAGTCCCTTGTGGTACTGCACTTCCTGGGCTATTAGTGAAATAGGCTTTGCCAGAAAAAGAACTGTACACAAATTCTACAACACACCAATCTGGGTAACTTGCAATTCATTCATGTTTATCAGCAGAGTTAAACAACCAGCTCTGAGGCAGTCACTAAGAGCACCAATTACTCCATCTCTCAGTGCAAACCATGTTCCCAAACAGACTGAGTTGTTTTCATTACAGTTCTGCACATGATGCAGTCAAACACAGTGAATTAGAAGCCCTCACTCAATGGACAGCAACTTCCAACTGAGAGGCAACAGACTTTTCCTATTGTGTCCCCCTATCCCATCCCAAACTGGCTGTAAATCCTGCATGTATGCAGACATAAATGTGCACACACTCCTTGGGCACACCCTGGCTTGAGGATTTCTCTCTCTGTCAAGAGGTTTGAGTTCCAACAGCATTTGTGAACTTCATGTTAACAGACAGAGGTGGACCTTTTGTCTATCAAATTTGATGGAAAGATTGCAATGAGCCTTAGGCTGGGCCCATTTCTCCAACATCAGTAGAAGGGAAAAGCTCAACCATTAGTGGCACTTTTTTGACACACAAAGCATGTTTATAGCTGCAGATGTCTGTGGGTCCCCATGTAAGCAGAACAACAACTGTGTGTATGTTAACTCATCTGAGCTGCAATTGTCTCTGCCCAAATATCACCTCACAGTTTAACAACCTTCCTTCATTGATTTTTTTATTGCCACATAAAGATACCTGTGTGGCCCTGAAACACTAACATGGCAGCTGAGCTCTGTGTCAGTCAATAGAAACATCTTGCAAACCTCTCTTGCACCACAGACACCAGCAGCTTGCAAGGGAATGAATTTGTCTCACTTTGTCAAGTGCAAAAGATGCTGGTGTCTGCTGCAGCATTCCTCCCTCCCCACAGGATCCAAATAATGACCTGAAAAGCCAAGAGTCAGAAGACAAAACCCTCTCCCAGTGTATCTTGTAGGAGCTGGCAGAGGACTCCTGCACAGTGGACTCTACATTTCACACACAGTGGGTGAGGACAGGTGACATTTGCTGTGCATACCCCCAGGATTGTTTTATCTCCATCAAGTGAGGCTGAGCTCAGTTAAAGTGGGCATTTGTACTCACAGCTGGATCAGCCTGGGCAGCCTGAAGGCCTTGACAGGAAGCTGAGTGATCCTGTTTTTGCTCAGGCGGAGTGTCAGCAGGGACCGGGACAGGCTGTCAAAGGCACCAGGCTCCAGGGTGCTGATTCTGTTGCTCCCCAGGTAGCTGCAATAAATCACAGCAGAGAAATGAATGCTTCTGTCAGAAATTACCTTTTATCAGCATTTAGTTGGTCTCCAGACAAGCTGGTGGAACTACAGAGATGGCTTCAAACCAGCTGAATTTCTGGCTGCACAAAGGGCCTTTTCCCAGAGCCTGTGATGAATGTGGAGAATTGCTGGGCACTTCCAAAGAGCTCCCTGACATCTTCCCACTTGAACAAGGCAATCAGGAGTGGAAGCCAGAAACTGGAGACTGTTCCAGTGCAGGATGATGCTATTCATTTTCCTCTCAGTATCTGTCCCAGAGGTCTTTTTTATTTGGATCCTAGTCTGAGACACAGGGGGCTGTTTCTGCAGGACATCAGTCATAACACCACTCTCTTATACCCTCTTACATCCAGGAACACAAACTTGGGTGTGAATTTTAATGCAGGCAGACTACTTGCCTGCACCTCTTCAAAGGTACCTAAAATACAGATTATTTTGTGTTTCTCTGAATAGGCAAACATCCTGTGGGAGTGTATTACTCTGCTTGATCTCTTTTTCTTCAAATAATCAGACATTTCTGTTCTCAATATTTAGAAAGTCACTTTAATGATTAAATAGTTATTCTCTCTCCACTCCTCTAGAAGCACATGGGTTTGCAGTTGTAAAGACACCTACACATGAAGGATGTCGGACACCTGATAGATTCCTTTTCTTTAAAACACAATTAATAATAATCTGCATTCTTCATAGCTACATCAGAGACCATTCAAAAAATAACCTGACAATAGTGACAACGTACTGCCTTCTGACTCTCCTTTGCACTTAAAAATCCTGACAAATAATCCCATACATCTTACGTTCATGACTTCTTTCTCTAAAGGTTTGAGGCCCCTTTCTCTGCTGTGGTAACTCAACAAGAGCAGTTCCCAACAAGAAGAACTCACAGCTCCTTTATGTGCAGTCCCTGTGGAAAGCAGCCGTTTCGGATTTCCGTGATGTCATTGAAACTCAGGTCCAACGTTTCCAGGGCAACGTAGGGCTGCAGCTGACTGCCCTCAACGCTGCGGATCCTGTTGTGATGCCTGAAACAGTCAGGAGGAGAAAAAGGGACTGCTGAGTTCTCTTAGAAAAGCAGAAGGAACATCCAAGGCTGCAGCAGGCCCCCAGGCTGCCCTGAGTTTGCACACTCGGAGTTATGGTGAGTTTTTAACAGCTGAGGAGAAACCCCTTCCAGAGAGATTCCCTAATCCCCTCTCTACTCCTCTGGCTAGAGCCAGCTCACAGGCTTCCTGACACTTTTTACCTTCTACAGAGCTATTGACTCCACTCATCAGTTGTTCTTCCATTAATCTGGGCTGTCCTACAAGCCTGCACTTCCAAACTGGATTTGCTACATACAGGGCTGTTTCTGAATCCCAAAGGCATCAGTGGCTCAGCCAACATGCCAAGGTTTTATCCAGAGAATGTGACTTTCAAAGAAGGAAACAAGTAAACACAAACCCAAAAGTTACATAATATTCTTAACTCCAAAGGATTCTTCTGAAAATTCCTAGCTTTGCACTGTATTACAATGATTTATAACACACAGAAATAAGATGTCTTGCAAACGTTCTTGCTGGCGTTTCCTTATCTTTTGCTACTTTAGTCCCACTGTAGGATTAGGACAACTCTGCAGTGCCAGTGCCTGCCCAAGCACCAGCTGCAGGATCAGACCCTGCACTGGTCACCTGTGTTTGCTGCCTGACCAGGACAGACTGAGCTTTTTCTTTAGAGAAAGTCATACCAACTGCCCTCAGTTTGCTTCCACAGCCACCAAACAGTTAAATACCTTTAGACTTCATCTGTACTCAACAAGGTCTTAGTAAAAATCACCCCCTCACTGAGCCCTTTCCTCTGACGCCTTTCTGGCCTGAGTCAGTAGAGAGCAGTAATCAATTAAAGAAATACATTGTGCATTAGTCACAAGAGGCAGAGCACATGCCTGATGTGAATTTAGACCAGTCACTGATATTACTGGCAAGGCTCTGAGTGAGGCACTCCAAACAGAGACGCTCACCAGACACTTGGGAACTTGCTGAATAATAAGAGATAGTGAAGAGAGTTCAGACAATCCTGTGCCTCAATCCATCCAGACACCTACTGGGTGAGCAGAGGAGGGGAGAGCAGACAGTGACAGCACTCCTGAACCAAGTCCCAGCTCCCCTGACAAAGCATCAGCCCTTGAAACAAAAAACTGAGCGATGTCTGACACAGCTTTTCAGGCACTTACAGCTGTTTAGGAGCCCATTTTCTCCAGCTTCACCCCACTTCAGGCTCTCCCAGGGGTTCAGAAAAGCCCCTTTGGAAGAAAACCTCCTCCCTTTGACAGAAAATGCCATGGCAAGGGACCTGCTCCCCACACCGTGATCTCCTCCTTTACCCTCCCTGTTATTAAAACCAGATTGTTTCACCACAACCTTTGCTGGTGTCCACAACAGGAAGAGTGAAAAATCTGCAACCCCAGAACAATTTGCTTTTGGGAGACTCACCCTTTAAACAGCCAGCACATGGCCCTTGCTTAATGCTGAGGAAACAGGCACAGAAACACTGCTTTGACTGAAGAGTTTAAATGATAATTAATTCAGTGCAGGCTCAGAAAACACTAAAAACAAATTTTACAGCACTACAGCAGTGTGCTGCTAATACAGTGCAACAAGGTGTCAAGAAAAATCAAAGGGAAGTAATAATTTAAGTCTCCAAACTGGTTATTCTATGGTTACCTGCACACAAGTCTCCACAACCACAACTGCTTCAAAGATAATGACGTGGCTGCTATCCAAAAGACCAATATTCATTTACAGCTGTGAATAAAGTCTGAATTTTCACATCCATGCACCTAGTAGGACAGTGGTGCACTGAATTTATAGTATAGTGAGACTAAAATACAGGAAAAATCTCTATACCCAGAATTTTGTGACCTCCATTAACTAAACACATGGGCAAGGGGAATTTCTTTCACCCTAGGACTAGGTTTTGGTGGTTTGGTTTTTTTTGGTTTTTTTTATTTTTGTTTTTTTTTTTTGCAATTAACTTGATTAGCAGAATCACAAGGTTCATAAATTTTTAATCTTTTCTCCCTCTTCAAAAGAAGAGCACCCACTAAATGAGCATCCTGTGATTCAGGAAAGTTCCTCAACACAGACATAACTGAGAGCAAACTACGAGCACATTTTCTGGAGCTCTCCTGAAGCAGGGGCTGTGAGTTCAGCTCTGATCTCATCTAAGCTGTGATGGCTGAGATGAATCTGGCTGTAAATTAACAGGAAATGAAGGCTTGTACAAACGAACATGGAGAATCTATAAATCACCTGACAATCCCTACACAGGGCAGCTAAGTCTGCAAGGGACTGAGAGCACAGAGTGAATTTGGACATGAAATGCTCCTCAGAAGCCAATAGTATTTTTTAATTTTTTTTTGCAGTATTAATATTTTTCTGCTTTGGTTGCTCAACATATATCCACTCTGCCCGCCTGCCAGATCTCCCAACCCATCCCAGAAGACAGACTTGAAGAAGGGAAGAAAAGGACAGGAAAGAACTGTTTTGTTTGAGCCGTGTTCGCAGTTTCCAGGTGACTTCTGTCTGTTCGCCTCTCGCTTTTCATGTGCTGCAGCTGGCAGATGAGATGGATACATTATTTTACACAGGCAGAAAAACTGGCTCCTTTCTCTCCCTCTCCCCCTTTCTTTCAAACATGGGCTGACTCCAAATGTTACTCTCAGCTCCAAACAGCATCCCGGGCCAGTCCCAGCTGGGGAATGTCAGACAGTTTGCTGCAAAGCACTGCACCCTCTCAGAGCACTGCACTTCAAACAAAGCCTGGGACTTTTCCTATACACAGCATGTGATATGGAGGCAACATAGCCCAAACCTTTTACTAGCTTGATTACAATTTATTTTTCATTCTTTTGGTAAGGGCCCAAATGTGATTTAACCCTTACTGTTACTACTTGGATCCTCTCAGCTCTCCTGCCTTTTTCCCCCTGTTCATCGCAAGGGAGCTTTGCAGAAGAAAAAAACAAAACAGTGATGTTATGAATTTGCCTCTCCCCTTTATCACTGACTGGAAAAGGGCTGGATTTCTCCCAACCACTTCACACTGGGTTGGCTTCAAATGTGACAGATCAGATTTTAGAACCAATTGCAGAAACCAGGCGTTAAAGCACAAATAATTGGTGCTTGCCCAACCGACACCTCCAGGTATCCTTTCCTCTCCCCCTCCTTAGGTATCACAGCCTGGAAACAGCTTTCCCTGCCTCACTTCAGCCCGTGTTACCTCTAGAGTATACAATGACAGGGCTTCAATGTGAGATTGTGCAGTTAGAGCCTGGAGTGGGAGCCAAGTCTCTTGGTTTCTATTCCCAGCTCTGGCACAGGCTCATCTGCCTTGGGCAAGTTCCTTAACCCCTCTCTACCTCTGGCTTTCCAATGTGCATGGACAAGGACTATCCAGCTAGGGTGATGCAGCCTTTGCTGAGGACTAAAAACCTGGAGCGAGAGCAGCTCAAGCAAAAAAGAAATCATAGGAACTAAGGGGCCCATCCAAGTCCATTTAGGTTTGTTTACGAATATGGGAGGATCTGGCTAAAACAACTGAACTTCCAAGTTCATACCCAACGTCATTCCCAGAGACACCTCATCTGCAGCGAGCACAGACCTGGAACTGGAACACCTCTGAGCCAAGCTAAGGTAACTAGCAGTCAGCAGTGCTCACTTCTACACTCTCTGTACCCATGGCACTTGTTCAGGAACTTCTTCACCCTCGGGTCAGCACCAGCTCCGGCCGCAGAGGGAGAGGAGAGCTGGGTGGATCCCACTCCATCCTCTCAGTTTAACCCAGCTCAACACCCCAAGGTAGCACAGCCCTCAGCTTGCACCACCCTTGGACAGACCCTTGGGCTTACAGGAGATTTGGATCAAGCCCAGCCAGCTCCTTGCTGGACCAAGGCCGGGAGGAGCCCTGAGGAAACAAACGCGCGCTCTCCGCTCCTCGGCGCTGAGAAAAACAAGCAGAACGTTCCAGCGAAGCCAAAGCGTGTTTGGGTTTGCTGGGAGTAGGGAGGGAGCTGAAGGGGGTGGCAGGAAAATAACAGGTGGCTCAAAGTCAAAGGCTTGCAGCATTTCCAGGAATCTCAGCTTGTATTTTAGAGGTAAAGTTACACTTTAATCCTGGTGCGTTTCCTCGTTCGAAGCGTCTTTGTGAATATTTATTTGATAAACAGGCTGTGAAACATTTTCCACCAGACCTAATAGGGGAAGAATTCACCTTCCTCTTTCAAGAAGGAAGAAGAACACCACTCAGTACCTTAGCTTCAAACTCCTTGTGTGAGAAATGGACGCAAAGAGCAGCACAAAAATGTTCCTTTGTTGTTTGAACCACATTCACTCTCCTCAGCAGCTGCCCACTCAAAAGCTGACAGCAGAAAATCAAAGAAAGACCCTCAGACAGGAATGCATGAGGAGCTTTGCTTGGGCTGATTTAAATACAATCAGCACAAAACCTCCTGGTTTAGACAAAGCTTGAACTAAGGCTGCTGTAGCTGCTGCAAGTCTGCAGTGTAAATGTTCAGTGTGAAGCGAGGCTAAAGGCAGGCAGAAGTCACATGCCTGGCCTTCATGTAGTGTCAGCTTACAGATCTGGCCCGGCTCACCAGAGAAAAAGGAAAGCTGTAATACAGCAAACCTATTAAACCAGCACCTGTTATAGGCATCAAAAATAAAATTGAGCTTCTAAAGAGGGGCTCTGCACCTCGGGCAGGGCTCTATTAATATGCCAGCACATTTTCAAAATTAGCGTACGAGGGAGATCACAGGACTACAAAGATTTAAAAAGTTCAGGGTTTGGTTAGTATTTCCATCCTGACAAAGTATTGAAGAAACAAAACGCTGGAGCCAGAAAGAGTTATGGGGTTTGGTACTGAAGGACAGGCAAGGTTTGGTGTCACAGACTGGCTGTGCAAAGAGAGGGAGATCAAAGGCAGCGTAACCAGAGATGGATCACATACACTGTGACTAACACATGCCTGGAACTACCTGCCCTCCTC